GGGGCCACCTTGGACTGTGGCTCAGCCCAGCCACCCGCGGGACCCAGGCTCAGCCCCAGTGGCCACAGGAGCACAGGGAACATCGGTGGTGCCTGTTGGAAGCCACCGGGCGCCCTGGTGCCTGGGGGGAGGGGGCCAGGACTGAGCTGACCCCAACTGTAACCGCGGCCAAGCCTCAGGGTCTGGCGCAAGCTTCAGTGGAAACAGCTAAAGTGATGTCAGCTGGTGATGTCATCGTTCCCTAAGAATGCAACTCGCGGGGCCCGTGCTGTGGCGCAGCAGGTTAAAGCCCCGGCCTGAAGCGCCAGCATCCCACGTGGGCACCAGTTCTAGTCCCGGTGGCTCCACTTCCAGTCCAGCTCTCTGCTAATGTGCCTGGGAAAGCAGTGGAGGACGGCCCAAGTCCTGGGGCCCTGCACCCGCGTGGGAGACCCGGAAGAAGCTCCTGGCTCCTGGCTTTGGATCAGCTCAGCTCCAGCCATTGCGGCCAACTGGGGAGTGAACCAGCGGATGGAAGATCTCTCTCTCTCTCTCTCTCTCTCCCTCCCTCTGTAACTCTTTCAAATAAATAAAATAAATCTTAAAGAAAAAGAACTTAACTTGCTACATTGTTAACAGTGAGGAAGACTCTGGCTGCCAGGGATTCAGAAAAGGCGTTTGCAACGCTTCACGCGAGGAACCCTGATCAGCCGGGAGAGCGGGCTGCGAGGACGCCCGGCTGCCGTCCTGGACAACGTAGTCGCGAAGCCGGCCAGGTCCACTTAAGAACGAGGCACCGCCCACTCGCTCATTCACCGGGCACAGAGGAGGGTGAAGAGAGAGAGGAGACGCCAGGCAGGACCACAAGGGAGGCCACGGTGACCGCCTCCCCCCCACCACACCCCCGGCACTGGGAGTGACTGGGCGAGGACCGAGAAAGCACGGGGGAGCTGCACACCGGCCAGCAGCACGCCGGAAGCCACCAACGCCCACCGACACAGCCCACAAAGACTGTGGTTTTCAAGTGTCCACCTGCCCTGGGCCACAGGGTCACACGACTTCACGAAGAGAAGCATGGGCTTTTATTAAGGGGCGATGGGGAGGGGCGGCACCGTGCACAGCGGGGGAAGCCACCAACCTGCATCCCGCATGAGCGCCGGTTCCAGTCCCGGCTGCCCCACGTCCAATCCAGCTCCCTGCTGTGGCCTGGGAGAGCAGCGGAGGGCGGCCCGGATCGTTGGGGCCCTGCACCCGTGTGGGAGACCCGGAGGAAGCTCCTGGCTCCTGGCCTCAGCCTGGCCCAGCCCTGGCTCTTGCAGCCATCTGAGGAGTGAACCGGGGGATGGAAGACCTCTTGCTCTCGCTCTAGCTCTTTTTCTCTCTCTAATTTTGCCTTTCAAATAAATAAATATTTTTTTAAAAAAAAGATACTTGGCCGGCGCCATGGCTCACTAGGCTAATGCTAATCCTCCGCCTTGCGGCGCCGGCACACCGGGTTCTAGTCCCGGTCGGGGCGCCGGATTCTGTCCCGGTTGCCCCTCTTCCAGGCCAGCTCTCTGCTGTGGCCAGGGAGTGCAGTGGAGGATGGCCCAAGTGCTTGGGCCCTGCACCCGCATGGGAGACCAGGAGAAGCACCTGGCTCCTGGCTTCAGATCAGCACGGCGGCCATTGGAGGGTGAACCAACGGCAAAAGGAAGACTTTTCTCTCTGTCTCTCTCTCTCACTGTCCACTCTGCCTGTCAAAAAAAAAAAAAAAGATACTTAAGACTGCCTAAAGGACAGCGCCCAACGCCATCTTTAGACAGATCTGCGTTAGAAAACGGGGAAGGGACAGTGAGGACGGAAGTGGGGGGTGGGGAGCCCTCAGCCAGTCGCTAACGGACGCGGGCTACGACCTGGGGCTTGGACAGAGAAGCAGGAACGCAGGCCGGAGATGCAGAAACAGGCCCACAGTGCCACGCTGACGTGGGCCTGCCGACCCCCCGCTGTGCTCCAGCCCCCGACATTCCCGGAGGAGTCTAGAACAGCTGCATGGCACCGCATTTATTCCGAAGGCGGAGATGAGACCGACGGGGAGGGATCTTCTACCTGCTGGTTCCCTGCCAACACACGGTGCCCGGGCTGGGCCAGGCAGGAGCCGGGAGCTCCCTCGGGGTCTCCCACGTGGGCGCCAGGAACCCAGCCGTCACCTGCTGCCCCCCAGGGGCCCTGTGCAGGAAGCTGGGAGGGAAGTGGAGTGGTGGGATTCAAGCCAGGCCCTCCCGCGCGCCGGGCGGCCCCAGCACCAGCTTCACCTCTGTGCCGAACGCCCGCCCTACCTCGCAGCTCCTGAAAGAAAGTTCCAGAACCCACCGAGACCTCTGGGTCAGCAGAGCTTTTCAAAGGCAAACCGGATGCATTTCATGCATTAAAAGTCTTAAACTTCTTTTTTCTACAAGTATAAACACAAAGGGGCAATCGATCTAAAAACACAGAAAAGTATTTGCAAAACACACACCGGCAAGAAGGAGCCCGGCGGGCGTCGGCAGAGCCCTGCACCTCGGCCAGGAGGCGCCCAGGGCGAGCGCTGGCGAGAGCACGTCCCGAGGGAGCGCACAGACGGTGAGCAGCCGCGGCGGCAAGGCAGCCAGCTCCGGGGACCAGGCGCACGCACACGGAGGGAATGAGAGCAGGCGCACGCACACTGACGGAATGAGAGCAGGCGCACGCACACGGAGGGAATGAGAGCAGGCGCACACACACTGAGGGAATGAGAGTCCATTCTCTCCCTCCTCGCCAGATTGGGAAAGAAATCATTTTAATAAACGAGACCCACTGGTAATCAGGAAAATGAAAATTAAAACAACAACGGGCAGCTTTTACAGCCCCTCGGATTCTCAACGTTTTTAATCTAACAAGGGAAGGACTATGTCCATGAACGGGGGGACCGCTCGGCCCGGCCACGAGACCCACAGATGACGCATGCGGGGCCTGGACAGACAGATGGCAGCGCCCTGGACGGCAGTGACCATGAGCACTGGATGGTGGGCACAGGCGCTGGACAGTGGGCATGGGCACTGGACAGTGGGCACGAGTGCTGGACGGTGGGCACGGGCACTGGACAGTGGGCACAGGCACTGCACGGTGGGCACGGGCACTGGACGGTGGGCACAGGTGCTGGACGGTGGGCACAGGCGCTGGACGGTGGGTACGGGCGCTGGACGGTGGGCACAGGCACTGGATGGTGAGCACAGTCGCTGGATGGTGGGCATGAGTGCTGGACAGTGAGCATGGGTGCTGGACGGTGGGCACGGGCACTGGACGGTGGGCACAGGCGCTGGACGGTGGGTACGGGCGCTGGACGGTGGGCACGGGCACTGGATGGTGGGCATGAGTGCTGGACGGTGAGCATGGGTGCTGGACGGTGGGTACGGGCGCTGGACGGTGGGTACGGGCGCTGGACGGTGGGCACAGGCACTGGACAGTGAGCACGGGCGCTGGACGGTGGGCACAGGCACTGGACGGTGGGCACGGGCGCTGGACGGTGGGCACAGTTGCTGGACAGTGGGCACAGGCGCTGGACAGTGGGCACGGGCGCTGGCCGGTGGCCGCGTGCAGGCAGGAGCAAAGCTGCCCTTGGCAGCCGGGGCCGTGGGAGGTGAAGCTGGTGTCCCAGCAGTGTTCTGCCCCGGGACCTGCTGACCTGTGGGCGTGGTGTGATGGAAGGCTGTCCCTTCAGTGGCTCGAGACATCACAGGACAGAGGTCAGGGCCGCGAAGTACGCTGAAGAGGAGGCGTCCCAGAACTCGAGGGCCAGGATCTGGGCGTCACGGCTGACCACGCCACGGCACGCACGGGGCGGCTCGGGGCCCGGAGACGCAGCGCCGAGACGGGCAGCTCGGAGCAGGGAGGAAGGGGCGCGTGCGGGGCGCGGGCCCAACTCAGCTCCTCGCTGGACCCCCAGCGGCCGCTCGCAGGGACACAGCTGAACACGGAGTCTACGAAGCAGGAACAGCAAACAGAAGTCCTGGGCGCGCACGGGAACGGGTGCTGAACGCTGAGCCCCAGCCAGGAGGACACGAGACGGCGGAGGCTGAGGTCATCCAGACCGGAGCTCCGCGAGCAAACGCCTCGGGGAGCGCTCTAGCACATTCCAGCACATTCCAGCACATTCCGGACCTCGGTCACCATGACGAGCTGATGCGCCCTCCGCAGACACTGCACAGAGAGCCACGGAAATTCTAGATCTGCAACCATCGGAGGCGGCAGAAGTCAGTGGACGTGAGGACGGAATGGGAATCGAGGTGCAGCCCCCGGGCCACACCAGGACGCCCCAGGTGTGTGACCTGTGACCCCGGGCCACACCAGGACGCCCCAGGTGTGTGACCTGTGACCCCGGGCCACACCAGGACGCCCCAGGTGTGTGACCTGTGACCTGTGACCCCGGGCCACACCAGGACGCCCCAGGTGTGTGACCTGTGACCTGTGACCCCTGGGGCCCCAGGAGTGTGACCTGTGACCTGTGACCCCAGGCCACACCAGGACACCCCAGGTGTGTGACCAGACTCTCAGCAGGACAGGGGTAAGGAACTCCCCACACCCCAGACCCCCGAGGCTCCCTGGGGTCCGTGTACACGTGCGGCTCGGGGCGGCCTGACCCACAAGAGGGGCTCGCGGCTGCCGCACGAGGCCGGGGCCTCTCGGCCGTGGTGGTGTCTCAGGGTGGATCTCACCTGGACTCTGGCTGCAGTGGCGCGGGGACAGCGGTAGCTGGTGCACGCGTGTGCGTGTGCCGGCCTCCTGCCCGCCACGGGGTCTGGGCGCAGAGGATTGCTGCTGCCGCTGCTGGCTTTGAAGGAAGCAGGACCGGGGAGGAACGCGGGGCCCAGCGTTGGACAGCCGCGCGGGGCCGGGAGCTCGCGTGGGCGCTGAGGGCCCCCGTGGAGCGCGGCCGGGGAGACAGAACCCTGGGCTCCTCCTGGCCCTGGGCCTGCTGCGCTGCCTTCGCCCTCACACAGCCCGTACACGCATGCGTGGCGGGGATGTTCGCGGCGCACAGGCCCGACCTGACCCACTGGGTCCTCACAGGCCCGGGTGTGCCGGCCACTGGCCCGTCTGGGCCTCTGCGGAAGAGGGCGCAGGCGAGGGGACCCAGGAAAGGCCCAGGGCCCGGCCCGGCACTGCTGCCTCCTCCTCGCCCTGGCCTGACAGGGAGATCCAGTCCAGAGAGGCACGGACGCCTGGGGTCTCCAGGGAGCCCCCCGCAGGCAGGAAACCCGAGGCCCCTCCCGGCGCAGTCAGAGCCAGGGCCGATCCCCCACCCCACAAGGAGAGACCCCAGTGTGCCAATTCCCTCAGTGGCCGCCAGGGGGCGAGGAAGTCCGGCCCCAGCTCCACTTGGGCTCTGGGGTGAGGCGGACACAGCGGTGCGGGGGCAGCGCCGCCCACCCCGAGCTGGTTATGGGGTCTGCTTCCCACCCTGCTCTGTCCCTGAGGGGCTTCAAGACCCCCGTGTCCTCGCGGCCCCAAGTCCTGGACTGCGGGGCGCCAGAGTGAAAGTAACCGCAAGGGGTCCAAAGCCCCCAGGCAGGGCGGGAGGCCTCGGGCGCCACCTCCCGCGGGGTCCCCAACGCCGGTCTATCCCCTAGGTGAGCGCCTGGCCACCCTGCTGGTCACGCGCGCCGCCGCCGCCTTCTTCCTGGACGGCCGCGCCGAGGACATGCTGCGGGATCTGCACGACGCCTTCCGCGAGAGCCCCTCCGCCGCGCGCCGGCAGTTGCAGGCCGTGCTGTCCGTCCAGGACCAGGAGCGCGTCCGGGCCCAGGCCCAGGAGGCCGCGGACCTGGGCTTCGCCCGCTTCCAGGAGGCCGTGCGGAGCCGCCCCGAGCTCCGCGAAGACGCGGATCGCGAGCTGCTGGCACCGGTGACCTGCGCGCTCCGATTCCTGCTCCGCGTGGCACCGGCCGGGGCCCAGCCTGCGCTGGGCACCCGCCTGGCCGAGTGCCTGCTGCTGGCCGGGGACGTGGCGGGCGCCCGGGCTCTGTGCGAGCGCCTGCTGAGGCCCGCTAGCCCCGCGGACACCGCCGAGGACCGCGCCGGGGAGCGCGCCCCGCTGCTGGCGCTGCGCGGCTTTTGCGCGCTGCACGCCGGGGACGCGCAGGGCGCCCGGGAGGACTTCCAGGCGGTGGTGGAGCAGGGGGCACCGCACCTTGGCGGCTGCGTGCGTGCGCTGTGCGGCCGCGGGCTGCTGCGGGTGCTGGCCGGCAGCGCCTTCCTGGGCACACTGGACTACGTCACCGCGTGCGGGCTTCTGCCGGAGGAAGCGCTGTTGGCCGCCAAAGCCTTCGTGCCCTGGAACCAGCGCGGGCTGCTGCTGATCGTGCTGCGGGAGGAGGGCCGCCGGATGCTGCAGCGCCCGCCCCCACCGGGCTGCCGAAGCCAGGCTGCAGGGCCCGACAGCGGCGCGGCCCCCCAAGGGTGAGTACCGCGCACGCGCGCCGGGGCTGCCGTTCTGGTCCTGCAAGGAGGCGGCGATGTTTCTTACTGTTCTGGGCGAGCTCCCGGGCCACAGGGGGCACCTTGGGCTCTGGGCTGGACACACCCCTCCGCCAGACACCGAGAGACAACAGCACCCGCTACCCCCGGTTCCATTTCCTTCTGGTCCTTTCTCTGCGCACCTGCCACACCGGTCACAGCCTGAGCTGGGCTGCGCCAGGTGTATCAGGCCTGCACCTGCTCCCACCCGACAGCCCCAGGTGTTTTGCTCTTAGTTCCAAGGCCTCTAGGTGGCGTCCCCCCCTCCCCTCACTATGGAGACGGCCCTGGGGGTCCTAGGTGGGGGAGCAGCTCCTGCAGGGCCCTGCCTTCGGAAGCCCCTCCCCCCATTTGATAGACTTCCGGACCCAAGGGTGAACCTCCCGCTGCTGCCATTCATTCTCCTCAGTTGGGGGGAGGTGCTTTAGCGGGTAGGGGGCAGCGGTGACATCAGCACACACACTGGTCCTGCCGTCCCCTGCTGGCTCCCCTGGGGAGGAGAAACCCTTGGGACCAGGGACTCTCCGGTCTCTCTGGGAAGTGTCACCGTCATCCGTCTGCCCCCGCCCACGCCCCTGAGCCCCCAGGGCCAAATGGCTCGCGCCGCGTCTGCAGAATGGAGAACTGAGGCAGAGTCTGCTCGGGGTCCCCCTCCTGCTGACCCTCTGCCCGCCCCCAGGCCTGCTGTCTGAAGAATGCCCACCCACGGGGTGGCGGGAGGCTGGAGCCGGAGGCTGGGTTGGCCACCAGGAAGGGCAGCCAGGGTCCTGGGGTCGGCGCGGCCCGTGAGGGTCCCTCTGGGAGCCCAGCGTCTTCGAGGCCCGACCGGAAGGGCTGCCCGGGCCAGGTGCACAGGGACGCCTGCCCCCCCACCTGCGTGGGTGAGAGGTGCGGCAGGCCCAGCCTGAGCTGCCTTCCCGCAGGGATGCCCGCGGGGTGTACCAGCTGGCCTCGCTGCTGATGGAGCTGGACGCGGAGGACGAGGCCGCGCGCCTGCTGGCCGCCGATGCCCTGTACCGCCTGGGCCGCCTGGATGACGCTCACGGGGCGCTGCGGGCGGCGCTGGCGCAGGGACCGCAGGCGGCCGCGGTGCTGGTGCGGCTGGCGCTGCTGCAGCTGCGCAGGGGCTTCGCCTTCGACGCCCACCAGGTGAGAGCCCGGGCGGGGGCTCCGCCCCCTGACCCCGCCTCACAGGCTGTCCGGAATGCAGCGGGGGCAGGTTCCCCCTGGCAGTCAAGGGAGGCTCCCGGCCCTCAGGGCCCTGCCTGCCTGGCCCTGAGACCCCTCTGCTCCCCGGTGAGACCCACCCACACCTGCGTGCGCACTCCGGGGGCCTCGCTCTTGGAACGGGGGCAGCAGGTTACGTGCGGGGTGGGGGGGGGGACTTCAGGCTGGGGAGGCCCAGGCAAGGGTCCTGTCCGCCCCTCTGTCACCCCTGCCCTCTCCGGCATCCCCCTAGCCCTGGGGGCAACCGCGTCCTGGAACAGGAGCTGCCGGCCAAGGCACTGGAGCGCGCATGCGCGGCCAGCGGGGGCGGGGCAGCAGGGGGTCTCCTTGGGGACCGCCTCGGGGGTGGGGTTCTGTCCTCCCGAGCCTTCCTGCTCCGCTCCCGGCTCTGAACTTGAGGATCCGGGAGCCTTCCCTACACTCCGTGTGTGGCAGCCTGGCAACCCTGAGACCCCCACCCCAGCCTCGCGGGGGCGTAGCGGGGCCACCCCCACCCCCTGCACTTTCTGGGCTCCAATCCAGGGGTGAGTTGGGAGCACCCCCAGAGTCTCGGGAGCACGGGGAGGACCGGGCAGCCATGCCTGAGGGGCGCCAGTGACCGGCTCCCCCTGCAGCTGGTGAAGAGGCTCGTCCAGGCCAGGGACACCGCCTGCCTCCAGCCCACCTTGGACATCTTCTGCCCCGAGGACCTGCAGCTGCTCCAGGGCCACTGCCACACTCGGGCCCTGGCCATCCTGCGGGCGCGGCCAGGCGCAGCCGACAACGGGGCCCGCACCAGGGAGGCCATCGCCTATCTCTCTCTGGCCATCTTCGCTGCAGGTAGGGGCCAGCCCCTGCCCAGGAGGCCCGTCCCGCGGCAGGTGCATGAGGGGATGGGGGAGGGGCGTCTGCCCAGCTGCAGGTCAGGGGTGTGAGGTCCAAGGACAGGGCTGGCCTCGGTGTGTGCGCCCTGGCAGCATCTTGGGTGGGGGCACCCTGCACACAAGCCCTGGCCACGCAGGTGAAACTGCAAAGCCCGAGACGCGTCTGCAGCACCGGGCACCAGCCAGGCGTCCATCCCAGGCCCTCGGCCCCACGGGCAGTCAGGCCCCTTTCCCAACTCGATCCCCACCCCCAACCAAGTCCACCTAGGGACAGTACTGAGTGGTGGGCACCGGCCTACCCCCCGGCTGAGCTCCGGGCGCAGGAGCACAGCCCTGGGGGGTGGGACCTGTCCCAGGAACCGGGGAGTGGGAAGTGTGGGCCAGGGGCCCTCCTGCCAGCGGTCCCTGGTGGGCCTTGCTGGCACCCCCTGGCCTGACAGAGACCCCTGCAGGGGTGGGAGGGGAGACAGCGAGTCCTTCCCGGCGGCACTGGTGAGGAAGGGACATGGCCGGTCGGCCCCCCCGAGCCGGGCACTTTGCTGGCCATGTCCACCACTGCACACGTGCCAGAGGGCTCCTCCCTGGCTGCCTCCCCCCGCCCCACCCCTTCCTATTGGCTGCCTTTCCCTTCCCCCGTAAGCAGCTGCAGCGCCCCCTCCTCAGAGCCCCCCAGGCTGTCCATCACTCCTCTGGGGGCCGTCCTGTGGCCAGCACCCGGCCGGCCCTGACTGTCCCTGTGTTTTGGTGCCTGGAGTCAGCGCCCTCTGCCCTGCCGGGTCGGGCGCCAGGAGGAACCACAGCCGCGTCCTGACTGCCCCCTCCCGCAGGGAGCCAAGCCAGTGAGTCCCTGCTCGCCCGAGCCCGCTGCTACGGGCTCCTGGGCCGGAAGAAGACCGCCATGTTCGACTTCAACTCCGTGCTGCGGGCCGAGCCGGGGAACGTGCAGGCTCTGTGTGGACGGGCGCTCGTGCACCTGGCCCTGGGCCAGCAGCAGGTACCGGACCCCCGTCCCCACCTGGGGCTGGGCGAGCAGGGAGGGAGGAGACCCAGAGCCACGCCTCGCTCTCCCGCTGGGATGGGGAGAGGGCCCAGCCATGCCCAGCAGTGGGGTACCCACGAGAACCCCAATATCAGTCCCACCTGCACCACCAGGCACCCAGGTCAGGGCCACTGCCCTTCCGTGCCTGCGGCCTCAGCCTGCGCTGGCACCTGTGCAAGCCCTCAGGGCACTTGGGTCCTCCCCAGCCGAGAGGAATCCCCCAGGGAGCCGCCCCCACCCCGTCCCACCACGGGGCGTGGGCCGGGGGCTCCTTTCAGCTGTCTGGGGGAGGCTGCCAGGACAGTGTGTTGAGAGGGGCTCAGGGACGTGAGCCACGGGAATAAGTGCTGGCATCGATTAGTCATGTCTGCTGGGGCACAGCCAGGTCAGGATGTGATTTGCCTGCTTTTGCCGTGAGTTTCTATGCCCCTGCAGAAACAGCGGCCGTTCAACATAAGGGGCTTGGTTCAGCCGTCAGGTGAGACGCCCTCACACCGGCTAGGCCTGTGTGCTGGAAGGGCTTTCGGGTTCGTTGGTTTCTTTATGAGCTTTCTGTGTCTGCCACTGTGCCGCACATGACACGCCCTGACCCAGGCCCACTCCCCGGACACCCACCCCGGTGCACAAGTGGGAGGGAACGCGCCGGGGTCCAACGAGGGGACTCGGCCGAGTCGCTTGTCCTCTCCACGCCGGTTTCCCCTCTATGAAAGGAGATGGGTGCTGGGCGGCCACGGAGCAGAGAGGAGGCCCTGGGGACACGGGGAAGACACGGCAGCCGGGGGCAGCACCCAGGGAACCACGGCTGTGGACCCTGATCTTCGGGAGCCCAGAAGACACGGTCACAGTGACAGCCGGAAAGAAGGCCAGCGCTGAGAGAGGGAGGGGTGGGCGCCAGGACTGACCTGCGGGAGGAGGGAATCCCACCCCGGCGGCCTGGGAGAATGGATGCAGGAGCCCCCTCCCCGGAACGCGAGACCTGCGGGAGGAAGCCACGGAGAGACCCGAGCCGACCGCCGATGGACCAGGGCCCCCGCCCAGGAAAGGCTCTGTGCCTGGCGGATCTCCCGCGAAGCACCAACGTCTAGAGAGACCCGCAGAGGAGGGAGAGACCCTGACCCCAGAGCCGGGCAGGCGCCCCCTTCAGAAAGCCAGTGGGAAACGGCGCAAAGACCAAAAAAAGCAAAGCTCACGTAGACTCCGCATAACACGCGTTTTCACGGACTGCTGAAGCCCTTGTGCAAGACCCCTTGTAAACGATGCACGCTTAGTCCTCGTGCAAGACCCCTTGTAAACGTGGATGCACGCACGCTCAGCCAAACACCCACAGACCAGATCCAGCCGGGCTGGAAGGATCACCCCGAGAGCAGGAGGCAGGGTCGGCTCCACAAGGAGAACCACTCCTCGGTGGCCCAGGCACCCTCACCCCCACCGCCCCCCGGGCTGTGCGGGGCAGGATCCTGACTCCTCGGACACAGTCCCCAGTGGCCCAGGCACAAGGACGAGCCCCAGGCCGGCAGGCTGCCCTTGCTGGGAGGGGCGGGCACGGGTGGTGGGAGGGTGTGCTCTGGGGGCCACGTCCAGCCTTGTTCAGGGGCTCTGGGCAGCTCACTCAGGGCAGAGGCCAGCGAGAGGTCCCCTCCGGTGCCCAGCAGAAACGGGGTGGGGGTTAATGGGGGTTCTTGGTCGTGGCCAGGGAGGGGCTGGCAGGGCAGCCCCTCCAGATGGAGCCCCACCCCCGCCCGCCTGCCTTCCAGGAAGCCGTGGTCGACATCGTCTCTGCCCTGAAGCTGGACACGGCCGCAGTGGTCCCTGAGCTCCGCTCTCTGAGGCGCGACGCCCAGGGCCTCCTCGCGCGGGGCCTGCACGCTCACTGCCGGGCCCTGCTGAGCCGGCCCCTCCGGGAGGACGACGCCCAGGGCCTTCTGGCCGCCGGGGAGGCCCTGGTCCAGATGGACGGCGCGCAGCCCAGTGGGCACCTGCTGCTGGCCGATGCCCTCATGGCGCTGGGTACGCCCGGCCTGCCCCGCCCTCTGACCTGATCCGCAGTGACCCTGGACGGCAGTGACTTCTGAGGCCCCAGCCATGACCGCTGACCCCCTCTGTGCCCCCCGGATGCCCGGCTCCACATCGCGCTGGTGCTGTGCCAGCAGCTTCCAGAGAGCCGGGTCCCCACTTCCGGTTCTGCTGGGGCTGGTGGGGGGACGACCCCTTGTGGTGACCATGGGGGAGAGGCAGGGGCTGGGTCAGCAGGCGAATCCGCGTGCCTCTGCCCGCAGCCCCTCGCCCCCGCCCACCCGCCGTCTCCCACCCCCACAGGCAGCTTCGAGGCAGCCGGCGCCCGTCTGCAGGGGGCCCTGCGCCCCGCTCGGGCGTCCGCGGCGGCCCGGGCCCGGCGGGGCCTGCTCCGGCTGAAGCAGGGAGACGTGCGGGCCGCGGCCCGGGACCTGCAGGGCCTGGCCGAGCCGGACGCCGCGGACCTGGGCTTCCTGCTGCGGCTGCTGGAGGCCCCCGAGCGGCAGAGCCTCGCCCAGGTGCGCCCGCGGGGTGCGCGTCGCGTGTGCGGTGGGCGCGAGCAGCATCACCGGCCGGCCTGGGTCTCCGGCCGCCGGCCGCGACGGCCACGGGCCTCTGGGCTCGCTCGCAGGGGGCGTAAGCCTCCCGGGGGCGGGGAGACCCCTCGGAGCCCGCCCTGCACCAAGCCCGCCTCAGCTTCTCCCAGGCCTACGCGTGCCGGGGCCTCCCGCGGCTCAACAGACAGCGCCCGATGGTGGGCTGGGTACCGGAGCCCGGACCCGGGGGCACGCGCGGGGTCTGGGCTCCGAGGTGGGACCGGGCGGGGCCTCTGGGGCTGGAGATGGGGTTGGGCGGAGCCTCTGAGCTCACGGAGGGGGGCTAGGCGGGGCCTCTCGACTTGGGGGATGTGCTGGGGGGCCTCTGGGCTTGGAGGCGGGGTCTCAGAATTCTGATAAGCACCTTGGCGGGGATCCCTTGGCTCTAGGAGAAACTGGGCGGGGCCTCTGGGCTCGGAGGCGGGGCGGGGTCTCTGGGCTCGGAGGCGGGGCTGGGCGGGGCCTCTGGGCCTGCGGGGGGTCTGGGCGGGGCCTCTGGGCTTGAGGCGGGGCTGGGCGGGGCCTCTGGGCCTGCGGGGGGTCTGGGCGGGGCCTCTGGGCTTGAGGCGGGGCTGGGCGGGGCCTCTGTGCTCGGAGGCGGGGGTCTGGGCGGGGCCTCTGGGCTTGAGGCGGGGCTGGGCGGGGCCTCTGGGCTCGGAGGTGGGGCTGGGCGGGGCCTCTGGGCTCGGAGGCGGGGGTCTGGGCGGGGCCTCTGGGCTTGAGGCGGGGCTGGGCGGGGCCTCTGGGCCTGCGGGGGGTCTGGGCGGGGCCTCTGGGCTTGAGGCGGGGCTGGGCGGGGCCTCTGGGCTCGGAGGCGGGGCTGAGACTGCATCTCTGAGAAGAGGCGAGCTTGCCTCTCGAGTCCCTGAGGAGGCTGAGCGACGCGAGCAGAACCGGAAGTAGCCGTCCCCCACTTCCGGGGGCTGCCGGCCGATCCCCCCAACTCGGTCCGCGCGCTCCTCCCGCTGCCCACCCAGCCCAGCTGTGTGGGGCCTGAGCGCGCCCTCCCGGCCGGGCCGCAGTCAGGGGCGGGGTCTCCGTGCAGCCCCTCCCGGGATTCAGAGCCCAGGAGGGCGACCGAGGGGGCTTCAGCTCCGGGAAAGGCAGGCGCCGGCGGCATGGCCGGAGCTGGGCACTCCCCTCAGGGTGCGGTGGGCCCGGGGCTGGCGGGCGCGCCGAGGCCTGGTCAGCAGCCTGCTTGTCCCTCGGTGGCTTCGCTGCCTTCCCGGCTTTGGGGCGCGGAGTCCTCGGGGCGGGGACAGCCCGTGGAGGGCCAGCGGGAGGGGCTGCAGGGAGCGCGGGGAGGGGGTCCCAGAGGTGGGCGGGCTGGGCTGACCCAGGTTCTCTCCCTCCCTCCCTCCCTCCTCTGTGCAGGCCGCTGCCCGGGAAGCCAGTGCCCTCCTGGACACGGGGCGGCCGCGGCAGGCGCTGGGCTTCTGCTCCCTGGCCGTGCTGGCCGGCGGTGGCGGCGCCTGCCACCTGCGCCTGCGTGCCACCTGCCTGGCCCAGCTGCGGGAATGCCACCGAGCCCTCAGGGACCTGGACCAACTGCTCCAGGAGGGTGCAGGGGACGGGGACCTCCCGCGGCGGGCGGAGGACCTCTGCTCCCGGGGCCGCCTGCTGCTGAGCCTGGGGGACGAGGAGGGGGCCGCGGCGGCCTTCGGCCAGGCCCTCGCGCTGGCGCCCGCCCCTGCCCAGAGCAGCCTGTGGGGGCAGCCGGGCCGGACCCCCACCGCCCGCCTGTTCCTGCACCACGGGCAGCGCTGCCTGGAGCAGCAGCGCCACGCGGAGGCCTGGACAGCAGCCCAGAGCGGCCTCCTGGTGGACCCCGGCCACCGCGGCCTGAAGCGGCTGAAGGCCAGAGCGCAGAGAGGGGTGGACGCGGGCTGCCGGCTGCACTGACCCAGCCTCGGGGTATGGCCCGCGCGGCGCCAGGGCTGACCAGCCTCCGTCTCTTTGGCCCCAGGAGTAAAGGGACGGCTTCCTGGGAGGGTCGTCCCACGGCTGGGGACCCTGGCGCACACTGGAGCTGGGAGGCTGCAGCAGCCCAGGTCTCCCCCTGTGCAGAGGACCAGGCCACGCCCTCCCGCTGTGCCTGGAAGCCCCTCTGTGGGCCCTGGCCTGAGTCGCAGGGCTGTTGCTGGGTGCTTTTCTGGAAGTCACTCACGGGGCTGCTCCCCGTCTCGGGCTGTGGGGGGCCAGGTGGGCCTGCAAATCCTGAGGGGCCCCTGCTTGGACTCCTGGAGCCGGAGAGAGCGGGGGACTAACCGTCCAGGCAGGCTCTTGCTTCCTGACGAGGAGCACGGAGACCCCTCCCAGGCGGGCCGGAGGGCCCCGCTGTGCCCTGTCTCTGCCCACGCTGCAGCGTGAATGAGAGGTGCTGGGAGACCGGACCCCACGCCCCCTCCCAGGCTGCCTGCCCCGTCTCTGCCTGCTCCTCCCTTGGGCGTGAGCCACAGCGCCCCCACCCCTCACCTCCTGGTAGGCACCTGTCCCACCCCCGCTCCCTGTGGGCCCTCCCGGCACCTGCTGGCTCTGACCACAAGGACAGGGGCTACAGGGTCAGTGCCTCCTCCGTGAGGATGAGGGACCAGGAGTCCATGGGGTGGGGGGAACTCCACTGCCTCCCCCCTCTCTGCCTCCCCCCTCAGAAGCTCCCAGGAGGCCTTGGCGAAGTCTCCTGGGACACTGTTGTCACCACGTTTTTCCTCCAGTGTCCACCGTGTGCTCATGGGCTCCACAAAGACGGCCTGACTATGCGAGGAGCCAGGGATGGGGCCGGGCTCCGGTCAGTGCCCAGGCAGTGAGGTGGGGGCAGGTGCCGAGGGGCCGGGCAGCAGTGCCTCTGCCCCTGCCGTCCTCCCCACCCTGGTGCCCTGCCCTGTCCATCCCTGGGAGGCCATCAGAGCTCGGCCGCTGGGGTGCAGACACCCGACCTGCCCGGCCCCTCCCACCCCAGGGGGCACAGTACCCTTGGCTCATCTCGCAGGGGAGGCACCGGGCTACCACGGAGTGTCAGGTTGAAGCCCTCACCCCCCAGGGGGTGGGACTCAGGGGGCAGAGGACACGGCTGTGCCCTCCCCGGAGTCCGCTGGAGCCTTGGCCTTGAACCCCAGCCTCCAGACTGAAGTAAACTCCTGTTGCTCTCAGCCGCCTGTTTATGGTATTTTGTTACATGGGCTTCAGCAGGTGGGGGTGCACCTGCTCCCCCTACCCATCACCTCCACTCTGCTACGGCCGCCGGCTGAGGACGAAGGGCAAACCTTAGCTTCCCGGGCTTCCTCTCCCTGCTGGGGAGCGGCCCCTGGTCGTCAGCCGGCGGGCACTTGCCCAGGAGTGCCACCTGGGCACGGGCGGGGCTGCTCCGGGCAGTGCTGGACAAGTTCCGGGCAGCCCCTGACCTTCCTCCCAGGTCGCCGGCCGCCCACGGCTCTGAGAACTCAAGTCGCCAGGCCCCCACGGAGGGGGCTCTCCTCACACACCCCCTCCCCCTCAGCTTCACTCGCCGCGAGACCACACCCCGCCCCGTGCAGGGCCAACCTCAGGGGCCACCCAAAGGTGCTGGGACGTTTCCAGTAGCACCCGGCAGCCAGGTGCCCCCCGGTCAGACCCCAACAGTGCATGCACTGGCTTTGGCCCGTCCCCGTCTGGGCCCAGGTGCCCTGACCCAGCCCCTTCCATGGGGCTCTGAACCCGAGTCAGGCCTGGAGCGGGAGGCCTGCTCCGCCCAGACCCCTGTGCCCCACAGTGGGCAGGTCTGGGGTCCCTGGAGGAAGGGGCCAAGCCCAGAGGTCCTCTTGGTGCCCAGCCGGGGCCCCTGCCCCTGAGGGTTAGGGTCTCAACCTCACAGGTCCCAGGGGCTGAGAGAAGCAGCCGTGCCCCACGCTGGGGCTCAGAGTGGGGTCCTCCCAGGCAGCCCTGCCCTGCCGCCATCATGACATGTGGGGACCACCCCCTACAGGTAGCTTCAGAGCCCGCACCCACCCAGGAGGGGGCCTCCAAAGCCCTCCCAGGCGGTGGGGAAAGAATCGCTGCCAACATCTCCCGGGTGGGCCCCTGTGGACTGAGGGTGTGAGCAACGCAAGCGAGAGGGGCCAGAGGCCATGCTCTGCCCCTCCCCCACTCCGTCCCCTGTGGAACTCCCGGACTGGACAGGAGTGACCAGCCCCTTGGAAGCCAACCTGCATCACAAAGGGTTCCAGAAGCCAGGAAGCCACCCGGCCCCACCTGACGCTGCCACCTGCTCCTCCTCCCTGGGAGCCAACCCTGGCCGGCTGGCGCGGTCCACGGCACCCCTGGCCGGCTGGCGCAGTCCGCGGCCGCCCTGCCACAGCCTCCCCAGAGCCGTGATCAGAGGCTGCGGTTTGCTTCGAGGAGCCTGTACCCCACTTGCCTGGGGGCGTCTTGAACCCCCCCAAGCACCCAGGTCGTCTGAGGGGGCCTGCGGGGCCTCTGGGTCGGGCGGCCCCTCTGCACAGCTGCACTGGGCACGCAGCCTCCTGGGCTCCCTCTCCAGCAGTGCAGCCCCGTGGCCTCACTGTGCCCTGGTCATCAAGTGCCTGGAAACAGCAGGAAGTGAACTCCCAGAATGCACCGGTGAGTTAGCTGAGCCACGCGGAGTTAGGAGCAGGGGTGAGGGTGTTAACTGAGCCCTGGTGGAGTTAGAGCAGGGGTGAGGTGAGGGTGATGGCTGGCCCAGGTGGAGTTAGGAGCAGGGGTGAGGGTGTTGGCTGCCCCAGGTGGAGTTAGGAGCAGGGTTGAGGGTGTTGGCTGGCCCAGGTGGAGGTAGAGCAGGGGTGAGGTGAGGGTGTTGGCTGACCCACACAGAGTTAGGAGCAGGGTTGAGGGTGTTGACTGACCCACACAGAGTTAGGAGCACGGGTGAGGGTGTTGACCAACCCACGCAGAGTTAGGAGCAGGGGTGAGGGTGTTAACTAAGCCCTGGTGGAGTTAAAGCAGGGGTGAGGGTGAGTTAGCTGAGCCCAAGTAGAGCTAAGAGCAAGAGTGAGGGTGTTGGCTGGCCCAGGTGGAGGTAGGAGCAGGGGTGAGGGTGTTGGCTGGCCCACACAGAGTTAGGAGCAGGGGTGAGGGTGTTGGCTGACCCACGCAGAGTAAGGAGCAGGGGTGAGGGTGTTGGCTGACCCACGCAGAGTAAGGAGCAGGGGTGAGGGTGATGGCTGGCCCAGGTGGAGTTAGGAGCCGGTGGACCTGCCCAGCGTTTCTATTTGTGCACGGCTCCCTCCCCGTTCATTTTCAGCAGATGTTGACGGATGCCTGGGCCGGGCGGGGGGGGGGGTTCCGGGGGGTGACCTCTGACGGAGCCCTCCTCCCCTGCTGGCTGGCGGTCCACGGGGATGCAGGAGTGGAGATGGAAATACATGACGGGGGCGGGACACACGGCCGGCAGGGGAGGGGCTGCGGCTTGCTGGGCTGACCCGGAGCCCAGGTCAGGGAAGGCCCCACCAGGAAGGGGCTCCAGACCAAGGGGCTCCGAGGAGGGGCCTGTGTGAGGATGGGGAAGGTGAGGCTGGAGGAGGCCCAGGGTGAAGTGGGTGGGGGCACAGAGGGTCCTGAGACCAGCCAGAGGGGCACAGGCACCACCCAGAGCAGGGGAGGGCCATCCTCTCTCTTCCAGGTCAGGGGGCCGACCCCCCCCAGGAGCGATGGGGGACAGAGCCCTTCGGAGGTGCTGGGGCAGCCCAGGGGAGCGGAGGGGCTGGAGCAGGTGTGAGAGGCAGAGAGGTCAGATCCCAGATGTACTCAGAGGCCAAGGCCCGGATGGGGCCAGGGAGTCGAGCAAGGGGTCAGGAGGGCTCCAAAGCTCAGCCTTGGCCGCCGGGCAGATGGAGTTGTCCGGGGAGATGACAGAGACCCTGGGGACTTCCGAGGGTGTGCGGAGCCCCTCTGCCCAGGTTCCCAGCAAGCCCCAGGGCGGGCGGAGCTGGGTGGGAGGCTCTGGCTCAGGGCCAGGTGGGGAGCAGGGAATGTGCCAGGCCCCGCTCAGCACGGAGCGCTCAGGGAAACGCAGGCATCCCCCCGACCGCCAGGCCGGGACCCCGCTGGCAAGTCCTTCCCACTCAAGGTGGCCGTGTGGTCGGCGACCCCCGTGAGCTGGGTCCAGAACCAGGCAGAGCCACGGGGGCATACGGTGAGACCATCCAACCTGGCCGGTGGCCCGTCAGCGGCCGGCACCACCGAGAGGGAGAGCAGGACTGGGCTTGTCTTCCTCTGGTCTCTCCCCAGTCCTCCGGCTGCTGGGTGCCGGCCAGGTGTGGGCCTGCTTCCCCAGGTGCTGGGCTGTGAGTGCGAGCAGCGGTCATCCAGGCACACACGCATGCACACGGCCCAACACAGGTGCACACTCACACACGCATGCACACGGCCCCCCACAGGTGCACACTCGCACACGCATGCACACAGGTGCACACTCGCACACGCATGCACACCGGTGCACACTTGCACACGCGTGCACACGGCGCCTGGTGCCTTCTGAGCCTGCTCTCCCGCCCCCCCAGCCCTCACTGCCACCTGTCGACCCTGCCCATAGCTGCAGTCTCTCCCTACCCTGTGGGTCCTTCAGCCCGTGGCTGGCTCACCCGTAGGGGTGAGGCAGGGGAGGAAGCCTCGAGGCTGCCCGGCCCTACCCACCCCGACTGGTCAGCGTGTGCATGGGGCACATCCACCCCTCACCAGCGCCCGGGCCGCAGGCCCAGGACCCCCGAGCAAGAGCAAGCCGGCAGCTCCCCCACTGCACAGCAGGGAGCCCGGAGTCCCTGTGCCCACCCAGCGGGGAGCGGAACACTGCTCGGCCACCCTCTGCCCGGAGGAGCATGGGGAAGCCCCACCACCACGCCACAGGACGCCCACACTCAGAGACCGCGTCCAGGGCCGACATGAGCGCCCTGACCCCAGGCGCCCAGGGCCGGGCTGTGGGCCTGGAGCCGGAGCCGGGGACAGAGCGTCCCAAAGCACAGGACGCCTGCTCCCAGCCAGGTCAGCCCCTCCAGCCCCGGCCGGCGGCTCGCTCACTGCGCTTTCCCGTGCAGAGCCTTGCTGATGGAGAAGTCGGAGAGCCCCGGGGGGACGGTGGAGAGAGCCGGCCGGCCCGCCCCCGGGCGCTGGGGCTTCCTGGAGTGGGGGCTGCTGCTGCTGCTGCTGCTGCTGGCTGGAGCCCTGGCCGCGCTGGGCGTCCTCTACGGCAGAGGTGAGTGACAGCCGGCCCTGCCGGCACCTGCGCCCGGGACGCCCAGCGTCTGCCTGGCCGCGCCACCAGCTGCGGCTGCGGAGAGGCACACGGACTGCAGGGCGCCGGCAGCCCTTCCAGAAAGCTCTGCCCCTCCTCGGGCCGGCGCCGCGGCTGCCGCGGGCTCTGCACCGCCCGCCTCTGCCTCTGCCTCTGCGGGGCTCCGGGGGTGCCGCAAACCAGCCTCCCCCGCCCCACGGCCGGCGCCCCCTCCCCGCCGCGGCGCGCCCCCAGGCAGGCGCGGCTGCAGTTCCGGGGCGGCCCGGCAGCAGGAGCCCGCGCTCCCGCACTGGGGACGGGCGGCTCACCTGGCCGCCCCCCGCGCCGCCCGCCGCCCGCCGCCTCCCGCGCCGCCCGCCGCCCGCCGCCCGCCGCCCGCCGCCCGCCGCCTCCCGCGCCGCCCCGCCGCCCGCCGCCCGCCGCCCGCCGCCCGCCCCAGGAAAGGGTCCGCGGGCTCCTCCCCGCCACCTGCTGCCCCTGCTGACCTCGCCGCGGTCGCGGGGCGGGCAGTGGAGGAGGAGACCTCGAGCGGCGCCCTCTCCGGCTCCCCCAGTCCCGCGCCCCCCTGTGCTGACATCGGTCCGGGGGAGCCGAGACCGCGCCCCTCTCGGGACAAGGGCACCTGGGCGCCAGGCAGACCTGGACACCCCCAAGCTGTGCCCCGCCCCTGCCCGGGCAGCCCTGCCCCCTCTGAGCCCTGTGCTCTCAGGCGGGGGTCGCACTCCTGCAGTGGGGGGGGCCCAGGACCCGGCGGAAGCTCCAGTGGCCCCCGGGCTCTGTCTAGAACGTTCCCCACTGCGGGGAGCTGGGGGGACCGTCCTCCGCCGGCACCCACGTGGTCTCTGGCCTGGGGCCTCCTGCAAGGGCACTGTGGGCAGGGGGCGCCCACTCGCCCTGGGGAGCCCA